CGAGGACGTCGACGACGGCGACGGTGACGACCTGCTGGTGAGCGGCGTTCGCGGGGGGGCTATGCCGCTTTGAAAATCGATAAGCGCCTCCGCGTAGAGTCGACCAGTCAGGGGCTTTTCGGTGTATCCGCGCGCCGGAGATCCTGGCGGGGGCGCCCGGTGACCTCGAAACGCCAACGCCAGAGGATCCCCGAGCGTAATTTCGCCCCGACGTGTCTATCGATGTACCAGCGGCGCGGTGCCGGAAGTCGCCGCCGTAAAGTTCCGCGGACCGATGCCGATGACAGGATTAACGCTAGGCGATGCCGAGCCCCGAGCCCCCCTCTCCCCGGGCCGAGAGAAAACGCGAGAGGAAACTCGCGGAAGTGGAGGCCGCTCCTCCGCGAAGCCACCGTGGATATTCTTGGGGCGCGGAATTAAATATAGCCGTCGTATTCCGAGCACTCTCGGGCAAAATGTAGAAAACGAAAGTCGCCCTCTTGTAAATGAAACATTCATTCAGGGGCATAATTGTTACGTTTACGGAGACCTATCGGATCGACGTTAACGATACTATTGTTAGCAGCGTACGCGAATCCGTAATATTTGCCGATTCTACGGACACCCGTCGTATCTTTCGCGGGGGATCTCCGCTTCTTAATGTACGTCACGTATCCGTGCCGCGTAACACGGTCATTAGCGCAATACATACGGGAGCACATCGATGTTTCGCGCGGCCGCTTTTAATAAATCCACGCCGACCGGTCTAATTTTCGCGCGCTCGCGCCCGCGATAATTATAATTCGAACGTCCGCTCAAAGTTGTGTATCTGCGTTTGTGGTGGTTCAAGAAATATCCAGACGGGACGAGATCAGTTTGCCGATATCCCCGATGGATTCTATAAATTCCTGGCATACTTCTCCGGAAAGCGGGAGCAACCCTGGAATCGACCGACCGAACGCCCGATATAATAGCGCGCTCTGGTTACGCGCGGTAAGTCCCGAGAAGAAAAGAAACGCGAATCCGATGGTGGGAGAGGGACGAAGGGGGTAAAAGCGCGCGCGCGAGAGAGAGAGAGAGGGGAGGGAGAGAGGGATATGCTCCAAGATTTTCCAACCCTCGATCCCTCTCCCCTTTGTGCAATCGAGCGCCGCCGCTTGCATACAAAGGGAAGGGAAATTGAGGAGAGCAGCTTCGAGGTCGCGCTCTACGACATTGCGCCCTTATCCGGCTTACGATTCCGGACGCTTCTCGCAAGAGAGAGCGCGCGGGCTCGCCTCCTGCCGAAGGAGCGCAGCCCACCCCTTTCGAGGCAAATAGGTCAATTCGCCGTAATTCGAGCCGGCTCGCGCGGGATTCCTCCGTGACTCCGTGAGGGGAGAGAAAACGGAGAAGCGTCTTCCCTCGGGCCGTCCCTATCCCTTCGTGCTTCCTGCCCTCTCGTTCCTCTCGTCCCGATCCGACTCGCGTCAGCGGCACGAATGCGCAAACGTCCTGACGAGGACGACGACGACGACGATGATGGCTGGCGAGCGTGCGAGCGTGCGAGCGAACGGAGGCACGAGAGAATCTCGTCCCCCGTGTCCGGACGCGTCGATGCGGCGGCCGAACAAGCGCGAACGTAGCGAGCGAGCTGAGCGGGACGCGCAGGAGGAACGAATACGAAATAGATCGCGCGCGCGAGAGGGTGAAGAACAGAAGAGGGTGGGAGGGGGCGGGCGAGCGAGCGAGCGAGCGGGCGAGCGAGAGAGAGAACGAGAGAGGAGAGAACGCGCACGCGGAGGGCAGAGAGGAAGGACACACCTGGCGCGTGCGCCAGGGTACCATTGAGGGCGGGAGAGAGACGCCGCGGACGGCCGGCGCGCGAGGGAAAGAGAAAAGGACCGCGCGGGAGAAGGGGCGCAGGGGGGTGGAGGACGACGCGCGAGGAGGGACGTATACAGTCGCCTCGTAGGGCAGTCGTTCCTCCTTCGTCGTTCCTTCGCCGCCGTGCGCTTTTAACGAAATTATTCCGCGATCCGTGGGGAGAGAGAGAGAAAGAGAGAGAAAGAGAGAGAGAGAGAGGAAAAAAGGGAGGAAAAATCCGGACCGGGAGGAATACCGAGGTAGAGCGAAGAACATCGGGAGGAGCGATAAGGGAAGACCGGGGAGTTATCCGTGACGAGTTTCTCTCCGGACGCCGGGCCGCGAACCTGCCGCCGACGCGCACGGCGGCATCGTCCTCCGGCGGCATCGTCCTCGACGGGGACACCGGCCTTGCGTGGCGCGCGTCGTCGTGGCCGCGGTCGACGGCAAAATCGGCGGAAGAAGTGGTGCGCCGGCGGAGAAGGAGGAGGAGGAGGAAAGGAAGACGTCATCCTTCTCGTCGTCCACGGTCAGTATCCCCTTAGAGCGGCCTTAAAGGGGGAAAAACAGGCGGCGTAAGCGCGTAACCGGGGGGGGGGGGTGAGAGGAGGG